GCTTTTAGGATCACAGGCTTCTTAAAATCAGACAATATCTGTGCTTGTTTTAAAGGCACAAGTATTTTATTCCAGGTGTTTTTGGCTGCAAAACCAGCAGCTTGATTCTCATGATATATGTTTTTTTTTTTCCCTGCAGATGCAGACTTCATGCATACCATATGGTGGTAATTAACAGTTTCAGACTTAGTTCTCAGTTTTCTTCTGCTTCAATTCTTGGTTGGTTTGGGACAAAATTTTAATGTCACAGAAGCAGAGTGTCTGAGTTTAATTGCAGACAGGAATAATGTGCATCTCTAGATGAGGAAGGAGAAGATGAGATCTATTTAGAGCACTAAGAGATATTTTGGAGATCTCATCGAGTACAACCTGTTTCTTTTCATTAAGCCTTTAAATGTTCCTCTGGAGAACTGAAATATGCCTCCCTTGGACCCTGGAAACAGAGGGAGACAATTTGAGAGATACAGCTGGAATGAAGAATTTCTTTTAACAGCACAATGTTTGCACTTTTTATGAGAGCAAGGGTAACATTGTGTAATCTTTTTTAAAGATATTGCTCGGTGAGGACAAGTCCATTGTCCAGTGACATGACTTTTCCTGTCAATCACAAAGGTGACAAGGGGGCTAGATTAAGTAAAGCTTGCCCAAGATTAACAAAGGAAGATTATTGACCTCATCCTGAAAGGGCAGAAGCCTGTTTTATCATTAAACCTTGGAAGAGGTATTTCCTCCATAGGTGGAAAGCCGTCTGGCAATATCCAGGCAACTTTCTTGCAAATGAGCGGGTCTTGCTGTGGATTCTAGCTTGGAGCAGAAGGCACGGGACGTGGGCTGCTCCCTTTTGTGCTGGGAGGGAGAGAAGGGGCTGCAGTGTTGGCCCCAGAGGATCTGTGCAGTCCCTGCCTGCCTGTCTGGAGGGGAGTGGAGGAGCAGCAGCCCCAGGTGTTTGGTGAGTACCATCCCAGCTGAGGAGATGTGGGCCAGCTCCATCAGCAGGGCGATGGGCAGTGCGGGTGAGCACAGAGCCCCGTGCACCTGCAGCTGCTCCTGCACAGAGCTGCCACCAGGATTAGCAGGGCCAGAGGCTGCAATGTAATCAAGCTTGAGCAGGTGAGATGGTTCTGCAGCTGGGAGAGGCTCTTCTCCAGGAACAGTGTTTGTCCTCTGCTCTGCTGGCTCAGGGATGGGTCCTGTGTGTGGCTCGATGGATGTAATTGTACCATGTCACCATTAGATATTGATGTTTCTTAATTCCACTTTACAGTGCTGTTGCCGTTCTCCCAGTGGAACTGGGAAAAGTTATGTCAGTTTGTCCTTTTAAAAAACAACCTGCTGAATCTCACTTGTTGGGAGGGAACTTCTTCTCAGGGGATTGATTTTAAACTGTTGCTGACGTGTCTTTCTTGCCATTGAGAATTTCTCTGAGTGTTTTTAGGGGGACAGTTAAACTTCTGTTTAACTTGACAGTTAAACTTGATATTTACAGTATTTGTTAATGTTTAAAAGAAACAAAACAGACACACAATATTCACAGAGCAAGAACCATCTTCAATTTTTGCTTAACCTTCCACTTACAATCTTTGCCTCATATAATGCAATATCAGAGGATTTTCTTTACTCAGTTTTTTGGCTTTATGCAGACATTGACACGAGCAGGTTTTATGTGGTGGAAGTGCCCTTTATTTTTACGTGCTAGCAGTAAAAATCCAGACCCACTGAGAGCTTTTTCACGTCTCCAAGTAATGGCATAAGAAAGAACAAACTAAGAGAGGGACATGAAGTGAAAGCGAGGTAACAGATGTACGTTTCATGTTGTTGTTGTGAATGGCAGAATGAAAGGATGCTCGTGGGGCAGCAGGCCCTGGAGCTGTGTGCTGCAGGATTCCTGCTGAAGTGTCCTGAGCAGCAGGAGCTGGGCTGAGCTCTCGTCCACAGCACAGAGCAGAGGATTCCTCTTGGATTGCGGATCACGCGTTGGGGGTGTGATTGCCACAGGTCTTTCTGAATGAATAATTCACTGGTGTACTGTAATTTAGCCCATGGAGATGTGGTTGCAGCTGTTCCCCTACTGTATATGTGTTTTGATTGAGGCTTAAATCCCACAAGTGTATAAATAGCCATGTGTGTGATATGCAAACACTGCATACGTGCACACCTAACCAAGAGCTCCAAAGAAACTTTTTGCAGAGGATGGTTTCTTGATTGTATATTTTAGTATCTCATTTACCTTTTAAAAAAATCTTGTAGAACACTTCCCTTTCTTTTCCTAGCCAGCTATGAAGTCTTTCTAACTGTGGTATTATAAATGCTTTTAGCCAACATTGTAGTAGGAGAGTATCTCTGTTATTAATGAATTTATCATTCCAAGAACTTTATCATATGAGAGATTATATAAGAGATCACTTGTGCCTGTTCTACAGGTAGGAATCTGAAATACAGGGGAAAAAAGTTTTATTTTCTATAGTTCCACAGTGCACTTGAAAGAACTAGGAACTGAGTATTCAGAGTCCTTCGTGGTGCTTTGTTCACAGACTACTGCATTGTCCCCCTCACAATTCCTTTTCCCAGAAAGCAAGGCAGAGTTTTAAAAATACTTGTGAGCTTCATTTGAAAGCCAAGCAGTTTGTGATTCTGAAAACCACCTTATATTACTTTACATAATATTTCAATCCTTGTGTTCTTGTGCTTCTTCTCTTATAACAAACTGGTTTTATATGAGAATATATTTGTAGATATAAAACCCCACTTGCCTGTACCCCAAATGTGCATGGAAACTGTAGCGGTGATACATGAGTTTTAGGCAACTTTTACAAATACTTTGTGTATTTGTAAAATACACAAATTGTGTGTAATACACAATGTGTGACACAGAAACAGGAGTGAAAGTCTTTGGGACCTGCTTTGGATTAAAACAAGAAATTTGTTCCTGGTAAAATGAAGAAACGCTGTTCTGTACATGACTGGTGGCATAGGTAGATTTAAGAACTGTAACTAAGGATGATGATATTTGGCTTATCTGTCTCAAAGTGTGAATAAGAAAGCAGCTTTCAAGATATTTCCTCTTTTAGTCTCGTGTGTAGGAAAAACAATTGCCACTTGGTGATAATGGTTTTGAATTTTGACTAAAGTCTGAAATGATGCTGAAGTTAACCATTTTGCTTGTTTAGATTGGTGTTAAGAAATCAGTTTACTCAAGTCTATAGGTGAAAAAAACTGAATTGGGTTTCAACTAAGTTTTGAAGTCCAGTGTTAGCAAGTAGGAATTTTTCAAGTGCAGAATAAAAATGGAGGGAAGTGGAAGGGGGGAAAAAAAGGAGCATTTCTGTTGATTGGAGTTGGAAAATTTTTTAGGGCTTGGTCAAAAGCTCATTGACGTCAATAGAAAGTCTCTCATTAACATCACTGGGTTTGGTTTTTGGGGCATATGATGGCCCAGATTGTAATCTCAGTTAAATCCGATTCTCTTAGGGAATTTATTCACTACTATAACACGTTCAAGCTGCTCCAAACTGTTTGCATTAAAAGTTTTCTTAACCATAGGTAATCTTTTTGCCACAACAAAGTAGCCTGTGAAAACAAATCTTTTTTTCTTTATTGCATGTTTTCCATGTAGCTTTACTCAGATTTTATTAAAATAATTTGTAGCAATTTACCTTCTTCTATAAAATTGGGGTTTTTTTCTGAAATACTGTGGTTTATTAGCGCAGACATCTAAATTACTCAAAAAAATATAAAATTATAACAAAAATCACTAAACACAGTGTGTGTGCATATTTGCAGACATATGTAGCACCTTCATACCCTCTGAATTGAAGTGCAAATATGAAAACAATTTAAAAATTAAGACTTTTTCAACCAAGTCTGTAATTCAGATAACAAGATGATCCAGTGGCTTATTTAAAAAACAATATTCATTAAACAGCTAGAGTACAAATATAAGATAGTGAAAAAAATAAAACCTGGGAAATCACATCAAAATAAAAACTACTCATGTTTACAGTGTTATATTTTATGCAGTGCATTACTCTGCTGCTATCTTTGTTTGGAGATGTTGACCTGAGTTTTTCAGGTACAGATGGCATATATCAGCAGAGGGAAAAACGGGTTTGGGAGCTGTGTACGGAAGGGTGAGGTACAACAGACATGAAAGCGGGAGGAATTGTGCAGAAAAGGTTGCTTTAAGCTGGAGGAGATGTGGAGGAGAAGGCTCCTGCGTTAATGAAGGCAGGTTTGAAGATGCTGGAGCCAGTTTTGCTTTCCATTAAAATTAATGAGTGGAGCTGTGTGGACTCTCACGTGAGGAGGGCTGTGTGCACGTTCCAGGAAGTCACTGAGTTTTGCCATTGTGCTGCCAGGGAAAGTCATTAGGACCACCTTTGTGAGAAATATTGTTTCTACCAGAAATCAAGGTTTAAGACAGAGGAGAATAGAATTAGGGAACAGAAAGCAGTTGCTTCATCCTTTATAGATGGGAGAACTACTTGAACTGTGAGTAAAAATATGGCATATGGTGAAGGACATTTAATGTTCAGTTGCTATTTTATTTCCTAAAACAACTAGCCAATCAAGGCATTAAGTACTTTATAAAGTCAGGAAATTAATGGTCCTTGTAAAAATTGAAGGTTTTTTAGAAAGAGAGCTGTAAAAGAACAATTACAGGTAATCAATAGCATTGTTATTAGGAAACCTATGAGAACAACACTTCTTCTCAATTAGGGAAAAACTGTATTTTATGTTTCTCTCTTGCAAGCTGATCTTTGTTCACTCCAGCCTGTAATCTTGGTTTATGCTTTATGGATAGGCTTTGTTCTGGCTGTTTTTGAAACATTGCTTGCCTTTTTTAAAGGTTTCAACAGAAGAACAAATAGCAATGAACTCCAAGAACAAAGCACCGTTCTTCCTTTCTTTCCGCCGATTTATTTTTTTTTTTCCCCCCATTTCTTCAAGGGAAAAGCAAGGAATGTTTCATCTTGTTGTTTTTTTGTTTTTCTCCCTTTCAGGAAGTTGATGGCAATAAAGTGATGTCTTCGTTTGCCCCGCACAACTCATCTACCTCACCGCTGAAGGCAGAAGAAGGCGGGCGCCAGGGCGGGGAGTCGCTGTCCGGCGCGGCGCTGGGCACCCCCGAGCGCCGCAAGGGCAGCCTGGCCGATGTCGTGGACACCCTCAAGCAGAGGAAAATGGAGGAGCTCATCAAAAACGAGCCAGAAGGTAAGGCCCGGGAAGCTGGCCAAGATTGCCTGTGTTCTTTTCTTTCCTCCAGATCCTTTGGATTGCATATACTTTTTTTAATCGTGCCGTGTTTCTGCGCTGCTTGCTTTTCCGTGCCAGCGGAATTAAAGATCTTACGGTTATTTTCTGCATTAGAGGTAAATTTTATCAGTGGCCCATCATAGCTTATGTTTTTAGCTTTTCCCAAAAAGAGAGTCTAGTGGTCCTTTTGTTGCAGTGGCAAGCTCCTCAGTATGCCTGCAGTAAGCCAATTTTAATCACCTGGGGGCTTTTACACCACTACTCCCCTCTCCCCATGTCTAGCACTAGAAGAAGTATTATTTATCATCTATATCAGTGGTTTTGTGAAATGATCTAGTGTGCAGGTCATTGTTTGAATGGTAAGAAGGTAAACCGGGAGTTAGTGAAAGCTTTGGTGTGGGACACATCGTGGTGTGTTCATGTGTAGTGCAGGTGCTGTACAGGCAGGGAATGCTGGTGTTCCCTGCATTGTGTGTGGCCAACAACATAATGCAGTGTCCTTTCTGGGTGTCCTTTCTGGAGAATGGGTTTTTTGAGGGTCTGTTTGAGACCCTCTCTCCAGCTGGTGGTGGTAGGACTTGTGCGCTGTGGGACTTGTGCTCTGGGACTAAGACCAGAGATGAGGATTTTTATTTTTTGCCTGTTTGGGGCAGAGTCCAGGTCCTGAGTGGAAGATGAGGCTCTCCTTGTGCTCTCTGTAGGTGTCTCCATGTGTATTTACAGCTCCTTTTTGGGTCACTGTGGGCCAGCTGTGAGAGCATCCTGAGCCCTGTTGCCTAGGGCACAGTGAGGAGACTCTGTTCTCATTTACACTCACCTGTCCTGTTACAGAAATCTGCCCCAAATGTTCAATGGCAGGGCTCTCACGGCCCACCTCAGTGCTGAAGCATGAACTGACAGCACCTACAAGGAAATTTCAGGACAATTTCCCGCATATTGGGATGGAAGTAGGGACACAAACACACTGGCGCTTCCAGGAGCATGGCAAGATTGTAAATGAGGCTTTTCTTGAGTGGAGCGTGCAGTAAGGGTCTGCTGGGAAACAAGTTCTTTGAGCATTTTTTTACTATTACTTACAACATTATTTTTGCATTTAGGTTGAGGTAATGGTCAGTGCCATAGCATACCTTGTGCCTTTGGATGGAAGGGATTGCAGGGTGGGAAGGAGAGCAGGCTTTTATCTGTGAGAGGAGAGAACAAGGAGCTCTGGGCAGTGCATGAATACTCTGCTGAGCATGAGGTTGTGCAAGCTGCACAGACTCCATTAAGCAAAGGCCACAGATAGACATGAGAATGGCTACAGAGCTTGTGCATTATCTCAGCTCTGCTAAAATGAAAATATACAGTACAAACAAAAGATCTACAGCTTTGTGAAGAGATTGGGAGAGAGAGGAGGGGGAGCAACTGAATGTTGGGCTTTGCAAATGCGTGCAACAAAAAATCTTTTCTTCCCTCTAGCCATTGTTCTATTGTCTTTCAAAGGCCATTAAATTGAACAGCAGGTTGTGATGAAAATTTCATTAAGCCCTAGTTAAATCATTATGAGGGTGCCATATTCATGTCTCTGCTTACTCCCCATCCAGGAAAAAATGAATAGGAAAGAGTTGAGCTTTTTTTCCCTTTCTCCTTAAAAGCGAACTAACAAAAGTTCAGAAGTTAGAAGAGAATGGGAAATGGGACATGAAACAAAAGGAGGCCAGAGAGGTGAGGTGGCTAGGAAGAAAATTAGACTTGCATAAGAGCATTGAAAGGTGGTGAGGGACAAATACATCATTTTGACAAGCCTCCCTCCCCCTTCCCTTCAGCCAACATGGTTGTTTTTAGAGTGGCTAATTAAAAAATATATATTTCTGGGTGCAGATGGCTAGACTGTTCTTAGAGGTCCTCTGCAAATATGAGTCTTTTCCCTAAATGAGATATGTACCAAATACAACACGGTGTCTTCTCTGTCTGAACCCCAGCAGAAAATTATTGTCATGTCTTCTTCATGTAGTGCTAAAGTAAAATTGTCAGTCATCACTGGTTGCTAGTCAGATAATTAGCATATTAATGAATTTCCCTGTGAATGAGGTGTTACAAGTGGGAATCTTTGATAGTACATGTAGGTAAAACTGCAGCAATTTGTGATAAATGCATATTTCACTAATGATTTTTAGTCTTGCTAGTTTGTAAAGCTTTGTGGGATGAAGATCAAGAATCTTGGTTAAGCTTTGCTGCATTATGTCAACAAGAATAATATAATACTTTATTTCCCTTTGGGAAGAAAGGGAAACATTTGCACCAGTAGTTGAGGTTTAATTAAATCAATTTCCTGTGAATCTTTCAAAGACCAGATACGAGCCAGATTCCCATTTCTCTATGTACTCAAAAGTTTATATATTATTTAACTTGTACAATGGGCTGTGTTTGCTCTCTTTTTATTGTTTGAAATAGTCCTCTGAATTGCTGTGGGAAACGTGCTTTTCAAGCATTCTCTCAAATGGCCTGTTTTCCTCAAAATCAGAAAAAAGGGAAGGGCTGCATGGACAACTTTAGGTCTCAATTCAAACCTTGTATCAGTCAAGGAAAGGGCTTCTCTTTAAGGACAAGGGAGATATTCCAAAATATTGATAACAGGTTTGACTCTTTCTAGGAAACTTCATTGATACAAGGGAAATGGTTTTCTACAATTGTGTTTGTTAGAAAATAAAAGGGAAAATCAGTAAGTTTTGTCGGTACAGGATGAGAATTTTTACATTTTAAACACAGTGCTCGGAGTGTAGCAGCGTGTAAGCACTTCCCTGTGCTCACACAGGAGCTGCTGAGGGAAGCATCACCCTGCACATAAATGGTTTTCATGTAGATTTGCTGTGTGTGTACCCTTGGTTAATGTGCCCTGCAGGAGCCCACGCTGCCTGCTCTTCCAAAAGCTCAGCACTGCCTGTTCCTCCTTGGCTGTGAGTTTTGGGGAGATTAGGGGGAGAAGAAAGAAGCAAGGAGACCTAGAGCCAAAGATAAACCCCCATAAAAACACCCCCTAATTTTGCCATTTTCCTGCTGCTGGATGGAAGTGTGTGATTGACAATGAGTCACGCTGACACAGAGGCATGAGTGTTCCAGTGGATCTGAAACTCGCCGAATTTTACTCATTACTAATACAGCGCTCACTTTTCTTCTCTCAAATTCTGTGGAAAATCCTTACATGCAGCTTTAGCATGAGGCCCCCAAAGGCATAAACCTATTACTGAAGTCACACAATGTTATTTTACATGAAACATTTCTGTCCTTTCTAACTTGGGCCTCAGCAGAGGAGTCAGTCCCCTTTCATTCCTGGCGCACAATAATGAAGATAATGGAGTGGGTTTGGAGCAGCCTTATGCACTGTGACAGACCCCCAGCCCCTGCCCCGAGGGTCGTCTGCCAACCATGGGATTCCTTTTGCAGCTAAAATCATTAGGAGAATGAGGTACAGGCATGTTTTTCTTCTGTTTTCTTCAGGCATCAGAGGATGGCAGAGGCTCTCTGTCTGTGTGCTCTCCTCATTTGTAGAAATGAAATGGAAATCTCTTTGAAGTCACTGAGCTTGACACAAGTTTGTGAAAGAAAAGACCAAAGCAGCCACTTAGTTTTTCCTTGCACTATTAATGGGATTGGATTGCTGTTTTAATTTATGGCCTGTGCTTGTGGAAAATTAAATCTCTGAAATCTCTGTAGCCTTTCCCCTAAACGTATGGCTTTGCTTCTGGATGGCAAAGAGGCAAACAAGTAAATTCCTCCCTATTTTTAGAATAAGCTGGAGTCTTCTTTGGCTCTTTACATCTCCTAACTTTTCATTAAGAATCAATCCTCTTTTTCCATGTTGGCAGTTTGAACAGGTTATGTATCTGGTCCTCTTTAAAACCTTCAGAGTGGGTTTTCTGAGGCCAGACCCATGTTGTTGTATGGGATTTGTAGGAATTCTGTATAAAGAAATATCATATGAACACCTACCTGATGAGCTTGTGTGGGTGCAGTCATTCATCTGCATGGCTCTTTCTTCCTTGGTCAGGACCTCTGAAACTCAATTCAGTTGGGCTCTTCAGGTGAATACTTTGAATTTTCCATAAAAACACATACACATGTATATACATGTACACATACAATATATATAATGTATTATATGTACTTAGACATAAATATATATGAATGCACACTCACAAATTATTCATTTATTGCGTTTCATATTTTTCCTGCTCCAGAATTTTGATCTTACAGTCTTTAGGTCTTCATAGGGGGAGCAATTAATGTCAGCTGTTTGGTAAGAAGGGAATATGTGTGTTTGCAGAGCTTTAGCAGGCAGTGTGGGTACCAGAGCCTCATGTATTATAGTAGGCAGCAGTACTGTAAGTAATTACTTGTTGTGAAAAAAGGGATGAGAAGAGCCTCTTGGGCATGATTTTTGTCTTCTGAACGCCCCCAAAGGCTGTTTGTATTTGATGTTTAAGTTTACATTATAAATCACAGCACCTGTTAATGTGGTAATTTAAATGACTGTTGTTTAAGCAGTTCTGTAATCTGTAAAAGCGAGCCATGCTGAATTCAGGCTCTCTAGCTGGGGTATCTCCTAACATTATCAAACTTTTAATGAACAAATCTTGTAAAAAAATCAAGATGTCTCCCACTTTTTAAGGCACAGATTCCAAAGCAGGCCATTCATGGGCACGAGAAGGGTGGCCTTTGAAATGCAGACTCCTGTTTTTAAATCACATCTGATGAGAAGGAGGGAAATCAAGTGCACAGATTCGGGAAAGGCCCAAGGATACTGTAATTGGCTGAGGTTTAAAGTTCTTTTATTTGGTTCCTGGGTGCCCCTTTGACAGAGTGCGTGCTGGAGAGGCTTTGTAAAGCTTTTCCACTGAAGGACAAACAAGGGTACTTTGCAGTTGAGTACTTTCAAGTTTTGCTGGTGCACTGCTGCTGCTGTGGAAGGATGCTTCAGG